GTCTTAATGCACACAAGGTCATTGCAATGAGTGTATATTTATATTTATAATATATATATATAAAAAAATTTTTTTTTACAAAAATGATATTCATATTATAACATTTATATTTAATACATATTATTTATTACTTGTAATAATTTATTACTTGTAATTATTTACATGTTTTGTATAGACATCATATTTTATAATATATACATGTATTGTTTATATTTATATAAATGACTAAAGTAATATATAAATAATATAATTTAGAATATTTGTGACCCTGTACCATAAAACCAGTCATAAGGGTCAATTTTGTGAAATTGAGATTTATGCATCATCTGAAAGCTGAATAAATAAGCTTTCCATTGATGTATGGTTTGTTAGGATAGGACAATATTTGTATATAAACAAAATACAATTAATATTTAAAAAAATATGAAAAAACAGGATATTTTCATAAAAATGTTTTTGTATATTCATAAGCGTTTGTAAGTGATTTTGATATCTGTCTGGGATATTTTATGTTCACTATTTCTAAAGCAAATAACATTAGCATTAGCTTTAACATTCAGATTATTCCACTTTTTGTCTTGCCTCATTTTGTTTGTCAAAAGGGCAGATTGCTCTTCGGCACGACAAATGCACACGTACAGCTATTTACTGAAATTATAACAGCCATATATTTACCACTCACTTATTAACTGTAGGGCCTTCAAAGTCACAAACATACACAAAACTGCATACAGAGCTGCTTTAAGGACTGAATAAAGCTGGTGTGTGTTTGTGTGTGTGTATGTGTGTGTATGACAGGGCTGAGGTCTCCCTGAAGGCCGCAGAGGTCGACACACTGAACGACAGACTGGCACACGAGCAGAAGAGAGCCAGAGAGCTGCAGTGGGCTTTCGAGAAGGAGAAACGCAAGTCTGACAGGAAGGAGGAGACCGAGAGAGAAGAAGTGGAGGTAAAAAATATTGTGTATATTGATGGGTTATAAGCAGTGCTGGGGAAAGTTACTTTTAAAAGTAATGCATTACAATTTTGAGTTACTTTCTAAAAAAGTAACGTCTCGGTTGCGTATGTAACCCTCGTTCCCTGAAGGAGGGAACGGAGATGTCATGTCGTGACCGACGAATTGGGATCTCGCGTTTAGAGAGACCAATCTACTTCGAGTGTAACTAAACGAGCCAATGCACATTGGCATTTGATGATTGCATCCAGCTGCCGCTGATCACAGCGTGAACATAAAAAGGCAGCCGGTGCAACGCATACCAGGTTTTCGCTCCGGAGCCGAGCCGGTGACCCGGCCGCTCAGCGGTGGTACAGCATCCGTGGCAACGTGACGTCTCCGTTCCCTGAGGGTTACATACGTAACCGAGACGTTCCCTTTCAGTCGGGTCACTCTCGACGTCACGTCAGTGACCGACGAATTGGGATCCCTATTGACTTATGACTGGTTTTGTGGTCCAGGGTCTCACATTATTGTGTCTATGTGTTCATAGGTATGTGGGCATTTATCATGCTTGCTTATGTGTCATCCCCCCCCCCACCCCACACACACTTTCTTAATTCTATAACAGTTTGATACTTGTATTGTGCCTTGATGCTTATGTGCTTTTCTTTAATAAACTACTTTAGCTACTTTACTAGTTACTTGGGAAAATAATCTGATTACGTTAACTCACGTTACTCGACACTGGTTATGAGTAACATGTAGAAGCAAAGTGAGAAGTGTTTTAATTGAAAACATTGGATGCGTCTCTGCAGGATCTTAAGCTGTCTCTGGAGGAGCTGTCGAGCGCTCTGGAGAAAGAGAGACAGGTTTCAGCTCGGCTCAGAGAGCAGGCGCAGGAGCTCAGCGTCTCCTCACAGCTGCAGGTGTGAATTAGTGTTCATTTTGTCAGCTATTTTCAATTTCAGTCTTAGTCCCGTGTTAAATGTCCTTGTTATTTTTTATAATATTTGGTCAACCTTATCCTATTTAGTTTTAGTCGACTTAGGCCTGGTTCCACAGACAGGGCTTAGACTAAGCCAGGACTAGGCAATAGTTCAATTAGGGCATTTAAGTAGTTTTTATTAACGTGCCTTAGAAAAAACATTACTGGTGTGCATTTCGAGACAAAACAGAGGCACTGATATATTTTAAGATCAGTCAGTGCAAGTTTCTTTCAGTTGAAACGGCTCAGACTTACATTTAAGCCTTGTCTGTGAAACTGAGGGTAAAAGTCTCAACATTTCAGTCTAGTTTAAGTCAATGGAAACTTGACATTTTAGCAATAAGATTATTATTAATTAACCGTACAGCAGTATTAATTTTGGCAACCATTTTTAATTTAGTCTTACTCAAATGTACATTTTAGATATAATATTTGTGACCCTGGAGCACAAAAGCAGTGTTAAGTCGCTGGGGTATATTTGTAGCAATAGCCAA